AAGTAATGCCACAAGTGGATCTTAGAATGTATTACTTCAAATTCTATATGTATTACCATCTACACTATATATTTCTTTCTGTTTCCTTCTTTTATGTATTCAATGTATACCTGTGACATACCATTATATTAAGGATAAGAATAACTGCACTTGCACTTTTTTCAGCTTTCTCCACTTTATCATGTCTGATTTAATTTAGTCTTTCACCGCCTGGCTTCCAGTGTTAATACAAACTTTGTGCAGGGCCGGATTCACATCACAAGTAACTGTAAGCACAGAATAAGTTCCCCCAACCCACTACATGTCCACAGTAAAAAACAAAACACTTAACAAAAAATGTTTTACACATTATAACAAAGTTGTATATACACACACACACATGTAGAGTGTATATTTGTCTGTGTAAGTGTATGTATTTGTGTGTATAATTCTGGGGTTGATATTTTTATGATTGGTTATTTAGTATAGCTCAGTGTGGAACAGGTCTTTCTTCACGAATAGTTGTGTCTTCCGAATGACTAGCAGAAAAGATGCACAGCTACAGAGACATTGGTTATGTCCAGCTGCCAAATAGGCTATCACAAACCCAGTTACACTTACATTTCCTTGAGTCTGGTCAGCCTACATTCCTTTGAGTGGTGGACTTGTACACTTGCCGTACAACTGTACCCAACAATAGTAATCAACTTGTCGATAGCCCTCTGGCCTGTAATTAAACCTGCGAACAGTTACTGGAAAATATTTGTGGAGGTTAGTGTTTGGAGGAGGAAAAAGACAGCGACAGATTGAGTCTCAAGAAGTGGGCAGCCATCAAGGTTGAAACATTTGGTAATACCATCCATGAGATTGTGTAAAGACAGACATCAACTTGACATCACCAGAAGATTCTCCTGGAAGTTAGATTCACAAGACAGCCAGGTTTCTGTAGTTTTGTAGGTAATTCTCTAATTGGTAAATCAAGCAGAAAAATATTTTTTATGTAATGTTTTTTCCATTATTTCTAAAATAATTTAAGCAATCCACTATCCAGTCATGCAGAGAATATAAAAGAGTTAATAAGTACTAGCATAATATATATCTCCTACATCACTGTTTGGTGTCCCAGAGCAGTGCAAAGAATGAACTTAGAAAAATAGTTTATTCTTTCATAAAGTAGTCAGCACTTCCAAATACACTATGAGGTGCTTGGAAAGTCATCCTCATCTTGATTTATTATTGCTTTAAACGCTCCTATGTATCCTGGCGCCAAACCAATCTTATTTTCTCAATTTCACAGCCTCGTTAGCTGTCTACTTGGGAAAGTCTCTTTGGGCTACAGTGTTCACAGGAGCGAAACACAAACGGATCCACGACTTGGGTTGTGCTTAAAGGTCAGGGAACTTTCGCGGAAAGACTTTTAAACTTGATATTATCATATGTCATCTTCTCGCATTGCCTGCTGTGGGACACAGAGAGCTGCTAATGGATTATGTTTTGCGTGGATGAGTTATTGTCTCCAAACCCCAAGTGGAAGAAGATTAAGAATTTATAATTTATGTTGACAGAACTTTTTTTTGGTTTTAAACCTCATGTCTCTTGGCTAAAATCTGCAGTTTCATATCAGATTAATATAATAAGTTTAAGCCTGCTTTGGTGAATTGGCAATAAAAAGAAATGGAAATATGGAAATATATGGTTAAACCTCTAGTGCAGAGGTGCCAATTGGTAGATCCCCAAATGTTGTAGGACTACAACTCCCATGACACTTTGCATGTCTTTAGGATGCCAAAGCATCATGGGAACTGTAGTTTTAAAACATCGTGGGATCTACCCTTTGGGCACACCTGGTATAGTGTGTATATAATAACCATGACTGATTCATTAAAGTGCTAATTACTTGCTTCAGAAATTAAAGTCAGCTGATGCTAGCAACCATCATTGTTGACAATAAATTATCTTGGGTACTCAGAAATATAAAAAGTTAGTGTCCCACAGGAATTTGGTAACTGGTGAAAGGGACTATAGCCATTTTAGTGTAGACTGGCAAAGTTATGATAAAAAGAGTCTGTGAGACTTAAACTGTAGTGTTCTTGCTGTGCACAGCAGATTGCTACTTTGTCAATGCTGTTCTGAATTTGTGTGGGATTTCACATGCAGCTTTTTAATAGGTCCTTAAAAATATCATTAGCCTAAAAATGGTATACTTTGCAATCAGACTTTGGCCTGCTTATAGAGAAATAAAGACTTTTATCGTCTCTGGAAAAGCTGATAAGCTCCCCAAAATGTATGCCCTCACCTTCAAATGTCACTGGTAATTGGCATCAAGCAATGGGGTATCTAGAGCTACTCTAACTCTAACTTGGTTTGTGAGTTTGTTTTCCATTCTTGTGAACGGGTTAATGGGTTTTGAAAGCAACATGCTTTTTCTGTGACACACTGTTTAATGCTCTTTCTGTGACACACTACATCTCCTCTGTATTTATCAGGTGCTCATCATGCTAGATGTATGACCTTATGGACTTCTATCTATAGCTCAAGCAATCATACTGAATTTTAATATTACATATTCATTGTGGATATAAAATATTGTACTTTTTGTTTCCCTTCAGGCATAGTTTGCTTTTGATTGTGGTGGAAGGTAGGAAATATTTGGTTAAGAAAGGGGAATGTGAAGTGAGGTGCCCCCTATTTCATCCTCGCTGTAAAACCTTGCCCAAACAGAAAGTTCAGAAATATATTCCCTGCCAATATATGAACAACTACTACCCTGCAGACTTGTTTGGTTCTATGAAGTTATCTTTAAAGGAACACTATAGCATTAGGAATATAAACATGTATTCCTAACGCTATAGTGACCTGCTCACTGATTAGGGTACTGGCCCCCCTTGTGGGAAGTAAAAAGACTGAGATCTCCTCCCTCATCGATCTTGATGATCTCAGCCAATCCAATACTTTTCCATAGGGAATGCATCTTTATGGGAAGCACTCAGCATCTCCATGCAGGAGTGGAAATCCTGAATCTAAGGACCTAACTGTTAGAGCTGGATCTAGGCAGTAAGGATTTTCTCTGAAGAGTCAGCATTTACAATGCTAATCTGTAAGGGTTCTGTTGACTATAGTGTCCCTTTAAGATCTTTGAAACTCAATTTTTAAGGCTTCATTAGTGTATCATAGAAAGAGCTTCCAACATGCGTGTCAGCAACACGTGACACCACATTTTAATAGACACCATCCCTAAATCTTGAACTTGCATCATGCAAATAGTGTAGCACACTTACGTCATCTGCCTGCTAGGGAATCACTGGCCAGACAATAGGAAAATGATTGAACCTTCTGTTTGTGCTCTCCCACTGTCTGTCTCGCCTTGGGGGCTGCGGAAGGGCTGTCCCTTAACAGTTGTGGAAAACATAAAGGGCATGGCACAGACACCAAATAGAATTGTTTTTCTTTTCTTTCTACTTTGTTCTCATTCTTTAGTGATGATACACAATAACATAAGAGATTGATTTATCCCAAGTGAGATGTTGAATAACAAGAAGCAAAATATAATAACGTGTCCATAGCTATGTAATGATGGATAGTGACAGAACATTATGCAGAAATAACATTATGTAGAACTAACATTATTTAGAAATAAAATTATTCCAAAAACAAACAAACAAGCAAGAAGCATTATTTATCAATGGTAGAATGCAGGTATAGGTAATGTTTGGAGCACCAAGTATGTTTGTAGTCCAATTCACTTTATAACTGTGACTCCTGGCTGATAGTGTGCATACAATGAAAGTCATATATAATATAGAGAATATGAGTGGTTATATAACAATGCGTGTGACAAGACTATATATTCCTTTTACGGAATTACAGAAGCTTTATATTTTACCCATAAGGAAAATTTGTTGCTTAACACTGTGGACCAGAAAACGTTGTGCAAACATTTACACAGTTATTTACTAGAGTGAGTATTCCAAGTGAATTCTAAGAGAAGTAGAAATAGAAGAATTTAGACATTTTCTGTACTAGTGATATACTTGAAGTATACCTGTCATAGTACACATAACATTGTTTAAATGTAATATCCTTGAATTGAAGCAGTTTCTGCAGTAATAGCATCCATGCATCAGTTAGAATGTGGAGTGAGTGCTTGTGCATTAACACAGGGCGTTCTTTAACGTGGGGCACATGGGTCAGTTGCCCCAGGTCCAGTTACTTCTGGGGGACCCAAAGCAGCAGCATGCTGCCCTCAACAATTTCTTTCCCTCATCCCTTTGGGTCCGCACACTAAGGTTGCTCTTTGGGTGGCCCATGCACTTAGCGCTACGCGGTGGGCATTTGACAGCAGGGGCCCTGTCATTACCTGTGGCCCTTTAACAGAGTGACCAGGCCCCTTTCTTATCGGCAGCCTGGGAGGAAGTGACAGCCAGTCACTTCCTCCCAGAGAACACAGAGCCATGTGGGAGGGAGGAGGAGGCAGTGAGGAGAGTGACGGGGCCGGGAGCTCCAGAGCCTAATTCCCAACAGCCTAATCCATCCCAGGAAAGCCACCCTATAAAAGGTAGGAAACATGAGGGTGGCTATAAAAGTGTAAATTTTGCATGTGTGTATGTCAGTATGTCTGTCAGTGTATGTCTGTGTGTGTCAGTATGTCAGTGTATGTGTCTGTGTCAATATGTCTGTGTGTGTCAGTATGTCTGTCAGTGTATGTGTCTGTGTGTGTCAGTATGTCTGTCAGTGTTTGTGTCTGTGTGTGTGTCAGTATGTCTGTCAGTCAGTGTATGTGTCTGTGTCTATGTGTTAGTATGTCTGTCAGTGGGTGAGTTAGTATGTCTGTCAGTGTATGTATGTGTTAGTATGTCTGTCAGTGTATGTATGTGTTAGTATGTCTCAGTGTGTGTCTATTTGTGTCAGTATGTCTGTGTATGTGTTTGTCAGTATGTCTGTCAGTGTATGTGTCAGTGTGTGACAGTATGTCTGTCAGTATGTATGTGTTAATATGTATGTTAGTGTATGTGTGTGTTAGTATCTCTGTCAGTGTATGTGTCTGTTTGTCAGTATGTCTGCCAGTGTGTGTGTCAGTATGTCTGTTTGTGTGTGTCTCTCTTGTGTGTCAGTAAGTCTGTCAGTGTATGTATCTTGTGTATGCATTAATATGTCTGTCAGTGTATGTGTCTGTGGGTATGTGTTGGTATGTCTGTCAGTGTATGTGTCTCTGTGTATGTCTGTGTGTGTGTATTAGTATGTCTGTCAGTGTATGTATCTGTGTGTGTGTCAGTATGTCTGTCAGTGTTTGAATCTGTGTGTCTGTATCTGTGTGAGTCTGTGTATATGTGTGCCTATATCCAGGGCCGGACTGGGAAAAAAATTCGGCCCGGGCATTTTTCAATCACAGCTGCCCTTGAGAAGGGGGCGGGGCCAGAGAGTGTGTGTTTTGTCATCACTAAGGACAAGCACACCCCCTCTCAAACTGATATGTTAGTTCAATGCGCAGAGCCCTGCTGAAGAGCTCTAGCATGAGAAAAAGGCCCTGTATTTGTTCTGCGCAACGCAAGCAAATTTAATAACATGCTTGCGTTGTGTTTGCTTTTAACTTGTCTCTGGTGTCTCAGTAAGTGGGATACCAGAGGACAAAAGGGCCAGGAAAACGTATTGTGCTAGGGCCTGTAGAGAGTGTGTGTATAGAGGGCATAGTGTGTATTGGGGATGTAGCGAGTGTGTGCATACTGGCTGTAGTGTGTGTAAGGGTTGTAGAGAGTGTGTGTTTAGAGAATGTAGCATGTGTTTGTTAACAAGGAATGTAGTGTGTGCATAGGGGATCCAGAGTTTGTATGTCAGGAATGTAGTGTGTGTAGGTGGTGCAGTGTGTGTGTGTGTGTAGGGGATCTAGTATGTAAAGGACACAGAGTGTATATAGGAGATTGTGTGTGTGTGTGTGTGTGTAGAGGATTTAGAGTGTATATAGGGATCTACTGTGTGTATGTGTAGATTATATGATCCAGAGTTGGGTAAGGGATCTAGCATGTACCTGGAGTGTAATGTGTGTAGTGGTGCAGTGTGAGGGGTGCTATAGTATATATATATATATATATATATATATATACATATTCTATATACATCCAAATATATATGTATATGTGAGGGTCACAGCGTGTTGGGTGTGTTGTGTGCAGCATGTGTGTGTGAGGGGTGCAGCGTGTTGGGTGTGCTGTGTGCAGCATGTGTGTGTGAGGGTTGCAGTGTGTTGTGTGTGTGAAGGGTGCAGCATGTGTGTGTGAGGGGTGCAGCATGTGTGTAAGGGTGTTCTTACTATCACATTCTATGTGTCTAATTATCTTTGTTAATTCACTGAGGGTTATTTTATGATATATATATATATATATATATATATATATATATGTGTGTGTGTGTGTCTGAGGGTGCTGTGTGTTTGAGGGCGCTGTGTGGGTAAGTGTGCTGTGTGAGGATGCTGTGTGTGTGTCTAAATGTGCTGTGTTTGTGAGTGTGCTGTGTGTGTGAGCGTGCTGTCTGTTTGAGCGTGCTGTGTGTGCGTGAGTGCTGTGTGGGTAAGTGTGCTGTTAGTGTGAGTGTGCTGTGTTTGAGGGTGATATGTGTGTCTGAGGGTGCTGTGTGTGAGGGTGCAGTGTGTGTGTCTGACGGTGCTGTTAGTGTTCTGTGTATGTGTCTAATGGTGCTGTGTGTGTCTGAAGGTTGCTGAGTGGGTGAGGGTGCTGTGTGTATATGTCTGGGTTTGTGTGTGTGGGGGGGGCAAGGTGTAAATTTATGATTTTTTAAAAATTATTGTTTTAATTAAAAATAATGTGGGATAAAATCAGATTTAAGAAATAGGGGAATTAATAAAAAATATTAAAAAGAATAAACTTAATTTCCCCCCTCCCTTCTTACCTTTAGTTTGGGAGGGGGGGTAGCCGTGCGTCCATGGAGGAGTCCCTGGTGTTGCTGTCCCATGCTGCAGTCCCTGGTGTTGCTGTCCCATGCTGCAGTCCCTGGTGTTGCTGTCCCATGCTGCAGTCCCTGGTGTTGCTGTCCCATGCTTCAGTCCCTGGGGTTGCTGTCCCATGCTGCAGTCCCTGGTGGTCCTAGTGGTGAGTGAACTCTACCCTGCAGTTCCTGGGGTAGAGTTCACTCTCGCGAGATCTGAGCATTGCCGTGGTAACCGTGGCAACACTCAGACCTCGCGAGAGGACCCGGCGGAGCTGCTGGCTAGAGCTCCGCCGGTCCTCTCCTGCCTCCCTCACTCCCCAGCCGGCATAGCAGTGTTACAGTGCCTCTGGGCCGGTGATGGAGATCTCTGATCTCCCCACCGGCCCATGGAGGCACACAGCAGGGCCGGCACACTGATAGTGTCGGCCCTGCATGGGCCGGCCGGAGAGATCCTGTGATCTCCCCTGCCGGCCTTGGCCCCTGGCCATCGCGGCCCACCGGGCATTTGCCCGGTATGCCCGATGGCCAGTCCGGGCCTGCCTATATCTGTATGTATGTCAGTGTGTATATGTGTCTGTATATCTGCATGTGTGTCTGTGTGTCAGTGTGTATATCTATGTATCTGCATGTGTTTCAGTGTGTGTATGTGTGTGTATCTGTGTGTGTGTATGTGTATCACAGTGTGTGTGTGGCAATGTACAGTGCCTTACCTATTTTGTTACATTACAGCCTTAAATTCAATGTTTTATTAACCTGAATTTTATGTGATGGATCAGAACACAATAGTCTAAGTTGGTGAAGTGAAATGAAAAAAAACAAAACATAAAATTATTTTTTAGAAATAGAAAACAGAAAATTGGCATGTGCGTATGTATTCACTCCCTTTGTTATGAAGCCCATAAAAAGCTCTGGTGCAACCAATTACCTTCAAAAGTCATATAATTAGTGAAATGATGTCCACCTGTGTGCAATCTAAGTGTCACATGATCTGTCATTACATATACACACCTTTTTTGAAAGGCCCCAGAGGCTGCAACACCTAAGCAAGAGGCACCACTAAGCAAACACTGCCATGAAGACCAAAGAACTCTCCAAACAAGTAAACGACAATGTTGTTGAGAAGTACACAGCAGAGACTGGAGTATCTGTACATAGGACGACAATAAGCCGTACGCTCCATAGAGTTGGGCTTTATGGCAGAGTGGCCAGAAGAAAGCCATTACTTTCAGTAAAAAACAAAATGGCACGTTTTGAGTTTGCGAAAAGGCATGTGGGAGACTCCCAAAATATATGGAGGAAGGTGCTCTGGTCTTATGAGACTAAAATGTAACTTTTCGGCCATCAAAGAAAATGCTATGTCTGGCGCAAACCCAACACATCACATAACCCAAAGAACACCATTCCCACAGTGAAACATGGTGGCGGCAGCATCATACTGTGTGGATGTTTTTCAGCATCCGGGACTGGGAAACTGGTCAGAGTTGAGGGAAATTGGATGGTGCTAAATACAGGGATATTCTTGAGCAAAACCTGTACCACTCTGTGCGTGATTTGAGGCTAGGACGGAGGTTCACCTTCCAGCAGGACAATGACCCCAAACACACTGCTAAAGCAACACTTGAGTGATTTAAGGGAAAACATGTAAATGTGTTGGAATGGCCTAGTCAAAGCCCAGACCTCAATCCAGTAGAAAATCTGTGGTCAGACTTAAAGATTTGGCTGGAGTGAACTCTATATCACTTTTAACTTTAAAAATAGAATACCAGGCAATTATCCAGATATATTAGCTTACGTAATTTAGAAATAGTGAATCTTAATTAGGAAAGTGAAAATTCTGCAAATGTAAAATCTGGTTAGAATTATTCTTATTGGATGGACACAGGAATGGTAAATGATCTGGTATGAGAATTATTGTAGTTTTAAAGTTGCAATATAATAGGATATCTTGCCTATGAGGATTGTGGCCAGCAGTGAAAGAGTAAATTCAGTGTAATTTGACTGTCAGCCAAATTTTTTATTGCTTTACGCTGTGCTGCTGTGAAATGCTGTGAGATGCTGTGTTCTGTGTAAGCTGATTTCAAAGTAAAGTGTCCTATCATAAATCTTGTTGGAAACTGCATACATAACTGTTGTTATTTAGCTGTCTATATTGTGTTAAACCACTGCCATATTGTAAACTTATGCTATACCTAAATATATTTTAGGTGATTGTCACGCATGTTATATTTTATTATTATTATTATTATTGTCACAATAAATTCTATTTTTATAATTAATTTGTGATTAATGAGTGAAATAAAATCTACTAATGAAACTTACTCTAGGATCTATGAGAATTAAAATAGTGGGTAATTCTCAGCTTTAAATCATTAATCGGTGAAACAGTGCCAAGATATCAATTTTTGATATAATAAAATGTATTAAATTATTTTTTGATAATTTTTATGAAAATATTATTTTAAGATTTATCACCCCATAAATATCCTCACAATTTGGAGGCAGACTGCTGAAATTGTTAGTTGAAATTATATTTCACAGGCATTGCTATTGTGTAATTCATGCAATATTAATCTTGATATAGAAAAGAGTTTTGTATTGATATTAATTCAGTGTATAGAAATATGGCTGAATCCAACACATCATCTCAATCAGATAGTGGGAAGAGGTTATTAGACCTGCAATTTGTTCCTTTAAGCATCTTATATAATCACTTACAAATCAAAACTGCTTATAAAGATTGGGTACTCCAAATTAAAGAACAAGTTCTTAATACAATTTATGATAGATCGAATAATGCACCTCTAATTAAACATCTTAGCAATATAGACAAAGAATCTACAATACTGTCCGTTATCGACTCGTGTGTTTTTCATATTGGGTTATTCTATTATGCTAAAAAAGCATAATGAGATAAAACTTATTGCTCACAGTTCAACAGGGTGTTTAGCGCTGCAGCCATATGGCTTAACCATCCACTACTGCCCTGGGAAGCAGACTGGCAATGCTGACGGTCTATCCAGACAAACTGAACTAGAGAAGTGATCTGTGAGCACTCCCCCGGACATCCCCAAACCGATCCATTGGGATCAGACTGTGTATGCCGGCTTGTGGTTACGTGGTAGCTTTGTGGCGGACCTATTTCTTATGTCTTCCCTTACGTTGGATTGTGAACCCCATTTTGGATTCTTTCCCATGTTAATTTGTGTGTTTTTCCCTTTGTTGTTCGGGACATGGCCTACGAACAGAATCCATTCATCTCCCGAACAAGGACCACCCCTGTACCCCATTAGAACGTTGACACCAACCCTATAAGTGCGAAACCGCAAGGG